GGTATTGACAGAAAATAACAGTCCTGCTATCTAACGAAGGGAGGGAGTAAGCACAATTATAATAGGATAGAGAGAAAAGGAGAGAGAGGGGGAGGAGAGAGATAGGGGGAGAAAGAGGGGGAGAGAGAGAGAGAGAGAGGAAAGAGAAAAAGGGTTAGAGAGAAAGAAAGGGGGAGATAGAGAGTGAAAGAGAGATATGATGAGCTCATAATTTACAATCACCATCCATGCTTTGCCGATTTCTGTGTTCCTTAATTTTGACTCCCCCATTCTTTTATATATATATATATATATATATATATATATATATATATATATATATGTAACCCAGATATAAGAGAGTTGTTGTCGGGACGGGAGAAGAAGTCTCTTCTCTTATATCCGGGTTTCTCTTATATCCGGGTTTGGTCTATTTTATATACATTAACACAGGCTCTAATTTGGGACCAGAGAAAATCTCTCTTATATCCGGGTTTCTCTTATATCCGGGTCTCTTATATCCGGGTTACACTGTATATATATATATATATATATATATATATATATATATACAATACTGCCTTGAGATACGAGTAACTCAAAATGCTTCTATCTCAAATCAATTTTCACCATTGATACTAACGGAAATATTTCTGATTCTTTTCCGGTCCTTAAAAATCATCTTTATTTTCCTAAAATTCACGCCTATTTTTTGTATTTGTCGGTTTCTTACAAGCAAAAATGTGTGAATAAACAGGAAATGTAGTCAACAAACAATAAAATAAAAGAGAAAAAAAAAAACAAATTTTAAAGTATTAAAACTTAAAATAATTTAAAACATTTACATTTTATCCATTTCATTCTTTCTATGTGCCGTGTCCTTTCAGGACGTAGACGATCATGGCTCTCCACCTCTTTCTATCCCTTGTAGCTCTCAGCAAGTTGCTTCCCTCTGCTTCCTCCCTGAGACCACATCCTGTCATCCACTTGCTTAAGCCCGCTAGCTATGTCATGCGTTGTTTTCCCTTGTCTCTCTGTTTCCCTCTATTCAACCCGTGAGTATCAGATTCTCCAGGCCTTCCTTCCTTATTATGTGTCCCAGAAACTTCAGCTGCCTCTTCCTGATATTAAGTATAAGCCTCCTCCTTGTTTGCATGCTCTCTAAGACCTCATCGTTGCCCACACGCTCGGTCCATGATATCCTTAGCATCCTTCTGTAGAACCACATCTCTGTCGCCTCGAGTCTCTTTTATCTTTGAGGAAATCGTCGAACATTCGCTGCCGCAAAGAAGGACTGATGTCACGTAACAGTTCAGTATTCTTTTCTTCGTTACCAAAGAAATCCTCCTGTTACCATTGATCTGTGAAAGCGGTTGCATCCGACTGACAGTTACTGTATTTCTGAACGAGCATGGCGCTATACATCTATATAGAAATTTCGACCTGTTGATACTATTTAAGTGCATGGCTCCCGTTTTAGGTTAATGTTTTGGTTTTGCAACAGCTTGCTGTTTGGGGCGAAGCTACCCCAAGCACGGTTTTTTCCTATGTCCACTTTCCTTATCTTCTATACTAAATTTGTAACTGATTTACACGTCGAGAAGAATAATTCAATCGCTTACTGAGTACGCGTGTCCACCTCGCAGTTTATATTATCAACTTCTCTGCGCTTTTTATGAATGACAGACGAGAAACATTGGTCTAAGTGATCTTAGATTATATTAAAATGGAATGAGCAAGCACCGTTAATTGCGTATTTGAGCTGTGAAAATGCGGACAGGAAACACAGAGAGCTCATCGGCGGATGAAAGACATTCAAAACATAGCTATTGGGAGACCGTTAAAATAAATCTTCGTTCGAAGCACCATTAATTGATACCTATCTGTTTTTAATGTATTAGGTTGGTGCAAAAAATAATGACGTAATAATGTCGTTTTTTGACGTTAAAAAATACGTCAAAAACGACATTATTACGTCATTATTTTTGCACCAACCTAATATTTATGATGCGTTTTTTATCTTTTTTTTTTTGTAAATGTTTACATTTTAGTTTTAAAAAGAAAACCTATATCGCTTGAGCAATCATAGCAAACAAGGTTGATTATTCATGAAGCTACGTCAGGAGTGCCACTTGATCTTGCGATATCAACATTCAGACAGATGCTTAACGACGCAGTCAAGTTAAGTTAGTAGATAAAGGAAGGAAAGACCGTGTACGGGAAAATAAATCATTGTCGTAAAAATAAATCATTGTCGTAAAAAAAAATAAAAATCATGTAAAATACCGCCGAAAACAATCACAGTAATGAAAAGTTAGGAATCCAAAATTTCAGAATTGCAGGACGGATCCAACATGGAATGTTTTTAATTTGTTTATGGTGTCGGTTTGATTCCAAAATGGTATGAATGGTGTAAATAAAAAAAAAAACAACAAAAAAAAAAAAAAAAAAAAAAAAAACGCGTCTCTCGCCAAGAATCGAATCTGTATTATTTTCATTCTGGTTAACTATTTTCAAGCCAGGCGTGTTTTACCATTAAACCACAAGAGATATTTAGATTAAAAACCGAGTTCAATTATCCGTATTCATACTTTATACTCATCTATATAATAAATGCGAATGTCAGGGTGTCACTGTGTCTCACTTTTTTAGCTTTACTCCTAGAGGCCGTAGCCCAATATATCTTACATTTTAGAATCAGGCCGATTCCGTGAGCAAATTAAAGAACATTCTGAACTGGATCTGGAACCGCAATCCTAAAATTTGGGATTCCACACTTTTCATAACTGCAATTGTTTTTGGTGGTATTTTTATGTGATCTGTTTTACGATGAATTATTCGGTACGATAACAATTTGTATAACTGGGAATTAAATTTGGGAATAATCGGAATTAATTGCGAAATCCAGCAAAAGTCAGCCATGATATAAAAATAATTGTACAAGTAAGGATCTACGTACATCAAATTATCTTTAAATTAAATGGCGGAAGAGAAGTTATCGTTAGACTTTTTAAAACTAAGCTTAAATGTTAATGAAATATTTAAATGCAGCGATCAATTTAGAGTTCTTGTAGTTTATTGTTGCCTATCACATCTACTCCTCCCTATCTATTGTGATGAATCTTACTTATTATAAAACGCAGATTGTGTGTGTGTGTGTGTGTGTGTGTGTGTGTGTGTGTGTGTGTGTGTGTGTGTGTCTGTACGTTCATATATTGGATTGGATTTCCTACATTTTTCAACTGATTTCAACAAAACTTCACAGGACTATGTAAAATTACCTTGCAGTGGTTCTGACAGCGCCAAAAATTGGAAAAACAATTGTTTTTGCATGAAATCAATTTGAAAACACGATTAAGAGGCATTAATGAAAGGGGGACAACTCATATCGAGTTATACTTATTGTTATCAAGTTACACTTATTATAAAACCCAGGTTGGTTGTGTGTGTGTGTGTGTGTGTGTGTGTGTGTGTGTTCATTTATATATGGGATCAAATTTCCTACATTTTTCAACCGATTTCAACAAAACTTCACTTTTTTTTGGCAGGTAGTGTTTCTTATTGTTCCATTTACAAGACAATTGTTTATAATAAAATTCTATTCAATCGATAGACTCTTAACGATTGAAAACAATGTTTTTGTTTGAGTTTGGGTTTGACCAATTCGTAAAAAAATAAAAATAAAATAAAACTAATTAAGACATGCGTGTCCGTCAACCTTAAACAATAATCTTTGTCAATTTTATTTTTCAGTCTTTATGATGGTCGATACTTGATCTATCTCTTACTGTTACATCCCCGGGCAATGCCGGGCTCTACTGCTAGTGCTCAATAAAAGGAGCGGCTTTTAAGCTAGTATTAAATATTTTAAGTACTTAATAACGCCTTAAAATATCCTCTTCTATAAAAGATGATTTATTTAATGTATGGTGTTTCATTTGTACCATAGTAGATTTGAGTACATTGAGTATTTTTTTCTTGCAATGTGTTGCAATCTGGTTTGTTCTGGTTTTATCAACTAATATTTGTCTTATACTAATAGTTGTATTTTGACTGTTTGCTCTGTGATGGTCGATAGGTGACTGAATTGCACTAACTTCCACTAGGTGACAAGTTAAGCTACGAAAGAACGTAGTGCATGTGTAGCCAACGAAAGAATTTAATGTTATTTCTTTGATTATTGGTATTCGAGAGGCACTCTCCCAAAGGATATGAGAATTCATAAACAACATTGTGTTTACATCCGGGGGGATTTCACGTATTTATCAGAATCAATAATCATATGACATAAAATAAATAAATATATATATATATATATATATATATATATATATATATATATATATGTGTGTGTGTGTGTGTGTGTGTGTGTGTGTGCCTGAGTGTTTAGGTGAATAAAGTTGGATACGAATTCGGCAGAATTGTAAACGTAAAGAGAATTTGTAAAAATTGACATCGCAAAATTTCATTTCACAACGGCAAACTTTAATGACTAATGTAGCGTTTGTACTTGTTTTAATATATATATATATATATATATATATATATATATATATATATATGTGTGTGTGTGTGTGTGTGTGTATATATATATATATATATATATATATATATATGTGTGTGTGTGTGTATATATTGGGACCCTGGATTTCACGGACTTACGATCGACGATCGCAAGAGCGTGAAACCCAGGGTCACAAACTCACATCATTGCAACTAAATTTGTTAGCTCTATCACTGAGCACTTTCCAATAAGTATCGCGCATATATAATATATATATATATATATATATATATATATATATATATATATATATATATATATATACGATATATACATGATTGACCAATGAACGTCAAACAACACAAAAGTAAAAATACTTGAATTTCTTTCTTCTTTTGCCTTCATATCTCTGTCTCTGACGAAGCTTTAATAAAAGTGAAACATCTTAAACTGATAAACATTTTCTATTTATTTTCTCATCTTATCACACACACACACACACATATATAAATATATA